AGGGATGGACAGCTAGGCAGAACCTCAAGTCATCTCAATTCTTAAGTCAAAACCTGACAAAGGGGCCTACAAAAGATGATGGCTCAGTGGCTAAAGTGCTCACTTTGCAAACCAGGCCTGAGTTTGATCCTCAGAACCCGCATAAAGGTGGAAGGATGGAACTGACTCTACAAAGTTGTTCTCTGACCTCCCCATAATTGCCATGGCATGAATGTAATGATAATAATAATAATAATAATAATAATAATAAACACTCTGATAAAGTTCAGCTTATAGATTCCTTCTTTTCTCATCCTTCCTTCCTTCTTTCCTTCCTTCCATTCTTGATACAACGTCTCACTATATAGCCCAGGCTGTCCTTACACTCTCAAGATGACACCCACTACATCTGGCTAGTTCAACAGATTTTGCAGGATGTCCCTAGCATCCTTTGAACACATTGAGAGAATCCACATGCATGTGTGGTTTTCAGTGTCCACAGCCCACTCTGGTGGGAATAGCATGGGGGAACATGCTCATGGGAAGGTGTGGCTTTCGACCTGGTCTACCAGGTAGGGATCTTTCTTGCCTGGGGTCCTCACACATGGGCACCTAGGGGTTGACATTAAAGGAATTTTCCTGCTTCTTCAGGAGACCCTGGGTGCCACAGAGCCTCTTTTATAGCATCTGCCTTGAGGACAAGGCCACTGATGTTCACATAACTAGGGAGAATGATCCTCACCATTGGGATGGGTCCTATCCCTTCTTGGGGTAAAGATGGACACACACATGAGGCCCAGCTGCCAGAAAGGAGAGGAAGCCAGAACAGGGAGGATGGAGAGATGTACTACATCGTGTCTTGGACACTGGGCAGAATTGGGGCAGCCTAGGGCAAGAAGGCAAGGGTAAGAATGGATCAGTCACTCTCAGAACTGTTCTGAAAGCTCCAAAGAAGAACAACTCAGTCTGGGACTGCTCTGTGATTGGAGGTGGATCCCGCAGGTGTGGATGGCAATTGATGGACTTGAAGGATGAGCACTAGTGACGAGGGGGCTGAAAGGGGCCTAAAGCCAGCCAGGAGACCTCTCCAGAAGGAAGGGAGCTGCTAATGGTCCAGGTGCAGGATCACGATGTGCTAGTGGCAAGGACTGGGGAGAAGAAAGATGGGGTGGTGGAAACCAGGAAGTGGGCACACAAGCTGGGAGCTCAGCAGAGACTTGGTGAAAGAGTTTTGTGCCCACCAGGCCTTGGATATGCTTGCTCATCCGTGTTCATCTATCCTCTTGGTTGAGGTCCATGGTCCCAGCTGTGAAGGCCACTGTGAGTTGTCATGCACCTGTCACATGACTGTCTGTCCAGTCTGCACAGACTACATCCTTTTTAGTCAGCTGCCTTTCTGCCATGAGAACTTTTGCTAACAGGCATGATGAGACCTAAGGTCTCCCTTCCTTGGAGTCCATCCCAGAGGTGGCAGAGACACATCTTGTGACCTGGTCATCATCTTGACCCTGGCTGATGTGTCACTCACAAAGTTGCCATTGAAAGATTGGGCAGAAGCTGTCCCCAGGCCCAGACTGTGATAATGCCCAACTTCACCAGTCATGGCAACCATGACCAGAAAGGAAATGAGCTGGGCCTGACCTGGCTGGCTTCCCATGGGGCCATGCTGGCTCCCATGGACTGCCATTTACCTTTCCAAAGGCTTGAATACCATCTGTCCAGGATCCATAGCCAGGCCCGGGGTCTGGCCAGTTGAGAAGTCATCCTGACACCAGCTCTCACTGCCCACCTTCCTGGAGCTGTCATCTGTCCACATCTGTGAGCAAGTCTTCCAGGGTCCTGCTCCCTTTTCTCAGTTCTCCAGGTTTTAACACTTGCCTGCCTGTGTTCAGGGGCAGCTGGCCACCAGGAAGGCAGAAGCACAGGGAACCGTGGTTGAACAAATGGGCCTGGGCACTAGGTCACAGAGAAAGATGCCCGGATACCAGTCTGCCACCAGGAGCTGGAGGCACGGCTAGCTCAGGCTCCTCCCTCCTCTAGGCAGCTCAGTGAGGTCAGCTGCTACAAATTGCTAGTTATTCCTTTCTTCAATTAAGGCCGATTCTTCTGATGCAGGAAGTTAACTCCCACCAGTTAATCTAATGGTCTTGAGTCTCATGTGTTTGCTCTGTCTGAAGGCAGGGCCAGAACTGCCTTGGCAGCTGTTCTAGGTCTGTGCTCAAGAGCTGCCAGAGGGGCCAGGCCGGTGCAAGTCCTGCTGAGCTCCATCCACTCCCACCTCTCAGTACCACATCACACTGAGCTGGGGCTGCTGGGAAGGCTTAGAAGGAAACCAGGGAGTCCAGGTTCTCACGGGGGCCAGTCTGGTCCTTTGTCTCTCCATCTGAGAAATGGAGTGGGGAGGGTGAACTGGTGAGATGACTTCAGAAGTTCCCATCTGCTTGGCATTTCATTTGTATGGTCCACCCACCCCCTGCTAAGGCCACTAGTCTAGGGTTTGTGATGATTAGATCAAGAGAGAGGAGGGTCTCAGTGGCCCCTACAGAGTAGTGCCTGTAAACAGAGGTGTTTGCCTGGGTCTGTGTGTGTGAATATGCACACATGTATTCATACACATGTATGCTCATGGGTGCACGTGTGCACACACAGACACAGACACAGACACAGACAGACACACACGAGGCTGTGCCATGAAACGGTCACTGGCAGCCTGTGGTCACTGTTGCTGCTGTGAGCCAAGAGCTGGGGTGGTGTCCAGGCCCAGCTGTGTCCTCTCTGTGTCAGGTTTATTGCATCTTCTGCAGTCTACACTGTGACCAGACATGTACCCAGAGACCGGGTGGCCAAATTGGGACATTGTACAGGCTTTCAGGCCTCTGAAACGCCCACAGCCACAGGGGAGGGTGAGGACGAGGCCCAGTGGGACAGAGTACAGGCCTGAAATGGAATCCTATAGGCCCATGAGCAGTGAACTTTATCAGCCTGTTTCCTTCTATGTAAACAGGAGATGACACAGTACACCTCAGAGAGCACACACGGGCTAAACAACAGTATCTACAGGGTCTGGAGAGATGGTGCGCTGGTTAAGAGCACAGACTGCCCTTGCAGAGGGCCTGGGTTCTATTCTTAGCACCCACATGGCAGTTAACAACCATCTGTAACTCGAATTCCAAGGGAGCCGATGCCCTCTTCTGACCTCCATGGGCACTGCATGATGCGGAGGCACCTATCCACATGCAGGCAATACATTCGTATAATATATATATATATATATATATTTAAAGGAACATACAGAAAGCCATGCATGTACTGCTTGTCTAGTAGCAACGCTGTTCTGGTGTCGGGAAGCACTGCAGAAAGCCACCCAGCTCTCCCTGTTGGTAACCAATGACCTGAGCTGGTAACTTCGGAGCTTTTGAAGTTCCATTTTGCAGGGGTCTGCTGGTGTCTGACTTTGTGATCCAGAGCTCTTGTGACTGAAGGTTTCCTGGTAGGTGAGACTTTCAGAACTAAAACTAGGACAATCCTTGTCAAGTACAGTGACTAGTCACCACGCGTGAAGATGTCTTGGCCGGCTGTAGAGAAGGCCCTAGGCAGCCTTGGTTTTGTTGGTGAAGCATCAGAACGCAGAGGCACCCTTGAGTAGGTCATGCAGGAGGCAGACTTCTGCTCTGATGAAGAATATTCTTGCTGCTGCTAGTTCTGTGCAAAAGTAGATCTTCTGCTTGAGGTACTGGGCCCTCTGCATTTGGGTAGAATCCAGAGAGAGTTGAAGGGCTGCTTAATAGGGCTACACGGGGGGTGCAGATCAAAGCTTGTGGGGCGTTGTGTGGGTGGGTATTGGGCTCAATGTCCACCCAGGCCCTTTGAGTGTGCTGTTTCCATGGAGCAGTGGATGGGACACTGAAGACTGGCCCAGTGGTGGAACCAGGTGCACCAGGTGGGTGGGGCAGGGTAGGCGGATACTTGACTGCAGACCGTGGGAGGAAAGCAGGGCTTCTGTGAGGCCCAGCCGAACATTTCTTTGAAGGGCAGTTATCTCCCACCTCATCCAGCAGTAGAGAGCCAGGCTGCTGGTTGGGGCATTCTAGGAGCTGCAGAAGGCTGGTCAGACATCCTCAGGATCCACAGAGCTAGTCTAGTCCTGAGCTAGACTATATTCCCCTGGACCCTACCCTCTAGGCCCCATCAAAAAATGACTGGCCATCTCCTGCCCTCTGTCAGCTGGACAGTGCATCTCATAGTGCCAGAGGACAGAACCCACAATTCAAATGTCTACGGGAGGCCTGTGCACTAGAATGCCCGCACCCCCAAGTGGAAAGTGGAAGGGGGTGCTGCTTCCTGCCAGGCCCCCCAGAAACCATGCTCAGCCTGGAATCCCAGGTGGGATTTGCAGGGTTATTCGGTCCTTTAAAGGCACAGAAGCCCTTCTCATCTGAGGCCAGAGCAGACCCTTCAAAGGACCCAGTATCCCTAGAACAGGGTCTGGTGGAGGGGTCCCACTGCGTCTCATCCGTGCGTGACTTCGCTCTAGGTTTTTTGGCCTCTTGGGTCCCTCTCTCCCGCTCTTGCCCGCCTCTGAATTTCCCTCTTTCCCATGAGTGTTTCTGTCCGTGTTTCTCTCTGGCGCTGTGTCTCAGGGTCACTGCGCCCCAGTCACCCGGTCCTTGTCTCCATCCTTGCCCGGCCCGCAGTGTCTCAGCTCTGATCCTGAGTCTGTCGCGCGATCTGCGCTCCGCGCCTCCGCGCGAGTCGGGGTCTGGGTGGCCTCGGGCGGTGGGCTGCGTCGACCCCCGCGCTGCGGTGGCCCCGCGGCCCGGGGCGGGAGTTGCGGGCCCGCGGGGGCGGCGTCGGGCGCCTTCCGTCG